CCCAGTTTTTAACAGACTGCTGACTTCGGTTTTTATGGAGTTCACTTCATCGATTGTAGCACCACCAGTCATCAGGTTGTCGACGTAGAAATCACGAAGAGTAATCGGTGCTCCAATTGGATATGCCGACATATTTTCATGTGCTAATTGTTGCAAACATCGAACTGCCAAAAATGGCGCACAGCTGGTTCCGTAGGTGACCGTTTGCAGCTGGTATGTTGCAAGTGGCTCGTTGGGTGTGTTGCGCCACAGAATGCACTGCCACTTAGCATCCCTTGGATCTACAATGATTTGCCGATACATTTTGGCTATATCGGCCATTAGAACATATCGATGAGTGCGAAACCTTAACAAGATTGTTACGATGTCATCTTGTAGATTGGGTCCAACGCGAAGAATGCTGTTGAGGACCCTTCCATTGGAGGTGCTGCACGAAGCGTCAAACACCACCCGTAGCTTGGTCGTTGAGCTGTCCATTTTTTTGACGCAATGGTGTGGAATATACGTGCCCACCTTAGCGGTGAATTCATGCGGATCTACCAACGTCATGTGCTTAAGCTCTATGTACACATGCATGAATTTACTGTATTCAGTCTTGAGTACTGGATCGCGTAGCACCCTTTTTTCCATTGCGTAAAAACGTCGCTTTGCTATGTCGATTGATTGTCCAAGTACGGATGGCTCTTCAGAAAATGGTAGTCGAACGATGAATTTATTCGTTAGCGGACAACGAGTGGTATTTTGACGAAAGTGAGCCTCGCATTCTTCTTCGGGTGATGTTCGTGAATTTGCTTGATGACGGGCAGTATCTTCAAGTCTCCAGAAGCGTTCTAAAGACTCGTCTAATGGTGATTGTGTAAGTGTTGGTGGATTGACGGATTCCAACAATGACACCGCTGTTGGTAATGATGATGATGATAGCGCTGAGCGTGAGTTGATTGCACCAGCCACTATCCATCCCAATTGAGTCTTTTGAAGTATTGGCAGCTCCTCTCCGATCTTTATCTGGCCTACTGACAGGATGTCAAAGAAGAGACTTGCTCCAATTAGCAAATCAATCGGACCGGATGTGTTGAATGTGTCGTCAGCTAGGGCTATGTTTTTTGGTATGCTCCAGGCTACGATGTCGATGGATTTTTGTGGTTGAGACGACGAAATTGATGGCATGATTACCACCTCTGTTAGTGCTGCAAATCCACTATGGAGTGATTTAATTTCGATGACTGCTGAGTATCGTGACGTGGTCAACATGGACCCATTTCCACTAATTTCCGTGGTCACCTTGTTTCTCTTGACCCTTAATAATTGGGCAATGCGCTCGGAGATGAAACTCAGCTGGGACCCAGAGTCCAGCAAAGCACGAGCCATTAGCGTTGTTCCATGTGTATTGTGCAACTGCACTAGCGCAGTTGCCAAGATAACGTCCTGATGTGGCCTACCTGCATGCAGCGCCGATGTAGATGCTTGATGTAGTGCTTGATCACCTACAGATGGTTGTTGACTTCTATGAAGAAGAGTGTGATGAGGCTATTTGCACTCTTGACATCGATTAGTTGATGGGCAATTGGGTGCTGTGTGCTTTGCTCCTAGGCAGTTGAAACAAAGACGATTGTTCTTAACCAAGATGTAGCGCTTCATTGGATCCATCAGTGTGAATTTAGTGCACTTAAAGGCCGTATGGTGGTTGCTTTCATTACAAAGCGTACATTTGTTGTTGTTTGCGGTTGCTGTGAATGTTGATTTTTGCCCTGAGGATTTTGTTGCTGCTGTTGACGTGCCTTTGCCTAGTGAACCTTTGTTGGCCTCAATGATGCTTACTGTTTGGCATCGGCGTTCGATGAATTTCGTCAGATCATCCCAGGACGGCAGATGAAGGCTTGGGGAGCTCGCTTTGTCGCATGTTGCTACAATTTCTTCCTCCCACTTCACTTGCATATCTGGATCCAATTTTGCAACTATAAGTTGGAGTAGTATACCATCCGCAATTTGATTTGGTGAGGCAAATGATTGCATTGCCCGAAGATGCGCGTTTATGCTGTCGACAAATTCTCTCAATGATGAAGCGTTTGCAGGCCGTGTGCCCTTGCAGTTGAGTATTGCTTGCAAATGCGATTGAAATATGTACCTCTTGTTGTCGTATCTGGTGATTAATACCTCGATTGCGCGCTTGTAGTTACTGCAGGTAACTTCTAGCGACTGTACCAAGCGAAAGGCGTTGTGTGTGAGGCACGAGCGCAAGTACTGGAACTTCTCTATGTCCTCCAGTCCCGAGTTATTGTGTACAAGGGTTGTAAACATATTGAAGAAGTCCAGCCATTCTGTGTAGCTGCCACTAAACTTGGTTACCTGCAGTTTCGGCAAGCTGTGGCGAGGCGTCGACGGGGATGGTGCGACCACTCTCGTACTGCTGAGCGTGTCTACCCTGCGCAACTCCGACATGCGCTCAATGATTGCACTCTTCACTTCACAAAAAGTGTCTTCAAATGTTGTGCGATGATCCACTTCCAGCTGAGATTCGTCCAGTGACTCGAGCTCTGTCTGTAGCCGCTCGAAAGTGTTGAAGTGGTGTTCCACCAGCTGC